CCCCTTGCTGATTTTGCAGGTTTGTCCACTTACAAAGAATGCTTATTTTTCCTCATCAGATGGTTATCAATTTTTATAAAATTCATATGATGTGATTTTCTGGAATTTTCTTTGGGATTCTGTCTTTCACTGTTAGAATGTACATATGATTAAAATTATAGATCGTTGCATTCTTTGTAAGTGGGCAAACCTGCAAAATCAGCAAGGGGTCAAATACTTATTTCCCCCACTGTAGGTGTGTTATGGGAGGGAAGTCTGTGTTTTTGTGCAGAAGTTAAACTCTTAAAACTCTTCTAAAGCTTCACAAATAAGAAAAACTCCCAAACAAAACCTCTCCCAGGAGTGGATCTGTTTGCTAGGGCTCCAGGAGGAGAATTTCATCAGCCGAGTGTGAGTGAAACCACATTTTAACCCTTTAAAGCCCGATCCAAGAATAAAACAAAACAGAAAATTACTTCTTTTTTTTTGGTTTGAATTCCTTATTTGGCCTTTCAACAAAATATGTCAAAAGAAAAAACAGAATTACATTTTTGATATTAATAATTTATTACTATGCGATAAGTCAAGGTTATTTTTTGTGTAGTCTTCTGCCCCCTGTTATCAGGTGTATCTGATTGTGTACAATAGGATTTTGAGCAAAGTTTCTACCATTAAATGATCCAAAAGGTGTCAGAATCAAAACATTTCAGAAACCGTATGTATCAAATATGATACATTTGGCATTATAGGGTTAAATGACCTGAACTTCCATTGTTTGCTCATTCAACCCCAACGTTTGGGGAACTTTCCACTGGAGCCTTTTGTGGCTTTCTATATTGAAAGTTTCATCTTTTTTTCCTTTTTTTTTTTTACCTGAAAGTCTCCTCTTGGGATCGTGGTTCTGTTTGATTCTTTTGAAAGTTTAAATGGTTTTAAATGAGTCAAAAGAAGCACCATAAAGAAGGTAAACGGATAAAGTGAGTGGGGGTCCTCACCCAGCTCTTTGGGGCTGCTGGCCTCGTACGGCTCGTGGGAACCGGGGAGCGACCGGATCCTGGAGCCCAGCCGCTCTCCTCTGGAGCTGCTGCCGCCGCTATCTGCACAGACACACAACACACAACCCGGGTCTGAACACACAACCAGGGTCTGAACACACAACCAGGGTCTGAACACAAAAAAAACCAGGTCTGAACACACAACACGGGTCTGAACACAAAAAACCCAGGTCTGAACACACAACACAGGTCTGAACACACAACCAGGTCTGAACACACAACCAGGGTCTGAACACACAAACAGGTCTGAACACACAACACAGGTCTGAACACACAACCCGGGTCTGAACACACAACCAGGGTCTGAACACACAACCCAGGTCTGAACACACAACCAAGGTCTGAACACAAAAAAACCCAGGTCTGAAACACAAAAAAACCAGGGTCTGAACGCACAACCCGGGTCTGAACACACAATTCAGGTCTGAACACAAAAAAACCCAGGTCCTAACACAAAAAACCCAGGGTCTGAACGCACAACCCGGGTCTGAACACAAAAAAACCCAGGTCTGAACGCACAACTCAGGTCTGAACACACAACCCAGGTCTGACATCTGGCTGCCAGGTAGCCATGGAAACCGAGGCTGGAAAACAGGAAGGAGGCCTGGTATTCCACCTTCGTCCGCAGTCCCAAATATCTCACACGAGGCCTCGCAAACTGCCAGCCGACTGAAGCCTTTTCTGGAAAATACCCCCCCCCTCCTCCACTTGGACCGTTCCGGGGACATTTCTCTCTTTTATTACACAGCTGGGAGACGCAGACAGAAAAGACGATGCAGCCGTCTGGCTTTTGCCAAAAGTTTTCCTCTGTGGAGTTTTTAAAAAAAAAGTTAAGGATTTAACACAGAAGTGGAAACTGAACCCAAAGCAGCGGCTTCGATTTAGGTCAAGAACACCCCCGAAAACGTATCCTAGAGACCACCTTAAAACCTCAAAATCAACCTAGAAGGATTCCCCTCCAGGAGGGTTTAACAGACAGAAAAGCTGGACCTCACTAACCATAAACGGCTTTTCTCAACCTCATACAGTGGGGGAAATAAGTATTTGACCCCATGCTGATTTTGCAGGTTTGCCCACTTACAAAGAATGCTTATTTTTCCTCATCAGATGGTTATCAATTTTTATCAATTCATATGATGTGATTTTCTGGAATTTTCTTTGGGATTCTGTCTTTCACTGTTAGCATGTACATATGATTAAAGTTATAGATCGTTGCATTCTTTGTAAGTGGGCAAACCTGCAAAATCAG